AAGACGTCTAGCGCATGACGTGAAGAGGGTGGTGAACTTTGGATGACAAAATTTTTCATTTTTTGTACCACTGGGATAATCCTATCCTCCCGTACTGAACAGTGAACGTGAAAAACACTCGTAAGCGTTGTACACACCATCATTAAACTTGTATGTAGCACATACAGTAGTAAGGGTATTTTCAAAATCAATGCAAAAATCGCGATGGAGTCACGGCTGAACCCTTACTGGCCGTACTGGGCTAGTTGACTGCTGCTTCGAATAGCTTCTGCGATTGCAGCCAATTTGAGGTAATCGCGATGCAAAAGTTCCATGATGTCGGGAAACTCAAGCAGGGCATGCTTGTAAAAGTCAAACCAGTAGATATCGGCGTGTGTTGGCTCCGGCCCAGTGAAGTACGGGCCGACCGTGCGCTTGTTGAGTGCGTCGAGAAGTCGCGGAAACACAGCGCTCTCAATAGTCGCCAGCCTTATCTTCTTGGAAGCTTCATCGTCGTCACTGTACACAATGTCGTTGTACTTGTCCCAGTTTTCCAATATTGCGTCGATCAACGAGTCCGCTTCAAGAGCCACCAAGTTCGATGCAGGGTACAGTCCCGCAAGCTTGGCGGCATAGCGAGCGAGAGCGAGGCTCTGTGCGTACACCTTGCCATTCGCCCTCAACGTTGGAATTTGACCAAACGGCAAGTGCAGCACGGTTTTGGTTGCACGCCAGTCTTGGAACTTGATGCGGACGTCGTCAAACGGGATGCCACCGTACGTGAGCAGCAGACGAATGAATTCCCCCCGCCCCGGCATGTCAAAGTACGTGAGTTGGAGGTCCGTTGGATGCGTCGCCATTGTAGCGTCAACTGAGCAATTTTCAATTTGGGCACGCGAGAACAATTTTGACCTTGCGATGGACAGCAGATCTGATTGGCTCACCAAGTGAATTCGCTGCGTTGACACTTGGCGGCAATGGCCGGTCGACCACATCGCGCGGTTTCGAGGAACGCGGTTTTGAGGTATGCATTCGCCTCAGCTTGATTGAACTGGGCTGGAAAAAGGCGCCTTTCCAATCCCCCTCGCATCGCTCGTCGATGTAACGCAGATCGCTCGCTTCCTGCGCACATTTCCTGCATGGCTACATCACTTTCGCACTAGCCTCCAATGTGACGAAATGTTGAAAACGCTGGAAAAGGAAGATGCAGCGGCGACCAAAGGTCTCGGTAGCAGACACATCCATTGCACAAATGGATAGTTTGTACATATCTGAAGCGATGCATGAGCACGTCTTCGGCGTGGTTGACTGTGTCCACGTTGGCATGTCTAGAACGAAATGGAGTAGTGCCAGGAGGTGTGCTGCATCTCCTTGGACAAGCTGCACAGTGAGTTGGCATTTCCAGCAACGACGAGACAAGGAACAGAGGAGAATATTGATTTCTTGGCGCGAGGCGATGAATTTTGTGCGAATTTTGAGTTGGCGCGATGACTTTTCCGGATGAGCGTTTTGTCACGAGGAAATCGCTCTCATTCTGCAATTTTTGCGGTCCGCATGTCGTCCTCGAAGCAACCATCGCTGGAGCTGACGTACTTTGACGCTGGCGGGCGTGCCGAGCCTATTCGATTGATCTTGGCGTATGGCGGCATCTCCTTTGAAGACGTGCGCATCCCTGGCAAAGACTTTCCTGCAAAGAAACCGTCGTTGGATCTCCCGTTTGGACAAGTGCCGACACTCCACGTCGATGGCAAAGTGTATGCGCAGAGTATTGCGATTGCACGATACGTTGCGACGCTAGCTGGTTTGTACCCCGAGAACCCGTTGGACGCGTTGGAAGCGGACCTTGCTGTTGACACCATCGTCGAAGCAACGATGACTTTTGTAAATGCAGCTTTCATGGAGCCGGACGAAGCGATGAAGGCCGAGAAACTTGCTGACGCAAACGACAAGGTTTTGCCGCGACTTCTGGGCGGTCTCGAGAAACGAGTTGTCGGACCGTTTCTCTTGGGCGATGCGGCTTCATTTGCTGACATCTACGTGTTGGACTTTTACACACAAATATGGACTGCATTTTCCGACCAACTCAAGTTGACCCCCGAACAACACCCAAAACTCACCGCTATTGCCAATCACCTGCGCAATTCAACCGAACTCGCGTCGTATTTGAACCCGAAGAAGCGAAAGTTGTCGTCCGAGTAATGAACTACGTTTCGTTCCATGACTTCATCTGGTCCTCAGTTGCGCCATTGTTACGGCTGAAAGCATCATCTCATGAAAATGCGCCAGCCTTTTGAGCGCGATGGGCAGACCTCGGGAGGTGGAATGCACATGAGGTCGGCACACAAACACTAGGTGTTTTGTGCTCGCCATTGAACGAGAGGTTTACTACTTTGAGCTTCAGCAAAATTCGACCAGTGCATCGTTCTTTTCTTGGGTTTATGGTTATGACCTAGTTGTCTGTGCTGCAGGTATCTCGGGGGCGTGATCCGATGCAGAAGGACCAAACCATTCGAGTCCTAGACTGGATCACCAAGACATAGAGTTGAGTTGCTGGGAATCGACTTCGTCAACCTGTCGACACCGCCAATCCAACATCGTTTCAACGAACACTACAAAATCCCAGCCAGCGCGTTCTGTGGTCTTGGCGCGAGTTGCCGTTTTTGCACGAGGATTGAAATTGGCGCCAAGATATGTCGGCTAATGCGATAATGATTGCCTGGATGCCCCCAACGAACCAACGCATTTCATATTTGGTTGGGGGGTGAACCAAACAATGCGCAACCGAGCTGTGTGTGCATCGGCGATCAAGCGCTTTGTACAGGGGCCTCTGACCTTGACGCAGATGTGCCATGCGTCGAGACTGACCAAGCTGGTACTTCGTGGAGCGATGGAGTTCAGCTCATGGGCAACGTCGTCCGAGGCACAACAGCGTATTGATCGCGGATGCGAATCCAATCATCGTGTGCGCGCCACGTACAAGCAGCATGAGTCAATCGAGCCCCGCCCACCGCTCTCACACCATCTCGAAGCCAAGGCAGGGTACAGGACTCTGCCTGACCCACCTCCGGTACTACACAACGAAGACATCCCCCCCACAACATCACCGTCGCTGGAGCTGACTTATTTCAACACTGGCGGGCGTGCCGAGCCTATTCGATTGATCTTGGCGTATGGTGGCATCTCCTTTGAAGACGTGCGCATTCCTGGCAAAGACTTTCCTGCAAAGAAACCGTC